ATGTGGCTTTGGGTGGACAGCCAGACACAAATCATAGCACTGCACCCCTTTGCCTCCAATCTGTGGGTTGCTCAGTTTGATTGATAAGCACACCATTGAAAAGAGTTTGACCACTCAGAAGAAAACTAGGCAAGAAAATATGAGAAAGATGCAAAGAAGAGGAGAGACCTTGGCACTTCCCCAGGGTTACTCTGGGCTCCATGTCCTCACTCTTTGGTTACATGTTTTGTGGCGACATGCACAATTGGCTGACTGAGGTCTGGGAGCCACTGTATTTCTTTGCACACCACAAAAGGCAGGAAGATGCTAAGCAAATGAGCAGAATAAACTGGCACTTGTGGGGGCCAGGCTTAGGGGCGTTCTTGTTCCGGGAAACCTCTGTCTAGCAGCTAAAAGGTGAACACAGACTAGAGAGCAGACAGATCATCCTCTGTAGGGCCCCGAGGCAGTCTCCGCCACCCAGAAACAACAACCACTTCTGTGCCTTCCTGCTCAGCACATCTTTTCCTTTCATAGCCACCTGCGATCCTGGGTGCAAGTTCGGCGAGTGTGTGGGCCCGAACAAGTGTAGATGCTTTCCAGGATATACCGGGAAAAGCTGCAGCCAAGGTCAGTACACCGGCCCGGGTCGGAGCACTGATTCCACCAGTGCAGTGGGGTTTGGGACAAAATGCGGTGCACAGGATGTCTTCGGTAATTGTACTCAAATCTTCCAATGAACATGGTTTCGGGATGAACTTTTTTCAGCCAATCTCTTCTCTTGATAAGTGTAAAACTTCTGGTTTTTGTCAAGATGCCCAATAAAAGGGCTTTTAAAGTACCTAATAATGTACATTTTTTATTTTTTTACCAAATCCAACAATGCAAAAGGATATAAATGATAAAGTGAGAGTGGCTACCCCTAATTCTTATTGTAATCTAGCTAGTAGTTTGTTCTAGATCCTTTCGGCCCTTTTCTCTGGCAAAACTATTCTTGGGGAACTCTGCCCAGTCAGCACTGCTCACCCTCGTACTTGCCAAGGCCGCCTCCCGGTCCCTGGTGTGAACACTCACCAGTGACGAAATAGATCGTCCCGTCGCGATCGTTTCTGCTGCCTCGACGCATTGCCATTGCACACAGCACTCAGCCAAGCACCAGCCAAGCCTTATCTTTGTGCTCTTGAGTACTTTTATGGGATGAATACCTGAAAATGAGACTGTTGGCTTGAATGGTGCTCATACTCTTATAAATGATACACTTTGAAAGACAATCAGTGACATTTGTCCTAGGCTGTTTATCTGAAGGCCTTAAAGTGTTCATTTATAATATCTAGAACAGTGGTCTTTAACCTGTGTTGATTTTGTCCCCCAGATAAAATACAGATGCCCACTGTATTTTAATAAATAAATTTAAATTTCAGATAAACAATAAACACTTGTATAGTATGTTGGTTTCAAATTTGTGCGGGATTAGTCATTTACCTGAAATTCAAATTTAACTGGAAATCCTGTATTTTTATTTGCCAAATCTGGGAACCTTACCCCAGGGTGAGTGTCTGAAGACATTTGGAAAGGGGCTGCCCAGTGCTTAGGGGCCAGGGATGTCACAAAGCATCCTACAGTGTTGACACTGAGAAATCTTCAGAGCCTTTATGGTGCATAAAAATACTTCATTGGAGCTAGTCTGTGCAGTAGACCAGCATTTTTGACTTAGTCACCCAGGGAACCCTTAGCAATATGTGGAGACAGTTTTGGTTATCACACTGGCTGAGAGAAATGCTACTGGCATCTAGAAGATGGATTCCAGGGATCCTGCTAAACACATCCTCCCCCCAGCAGAGTGGTCTGAGCTGGGTTCTGAGAGGCTGAGGCAGCAAGATCACAAGTTCAAGCCTAATGCAGGCAACTTAGTAAGACCCTATCTCAAAATAAAAAGGGCTTGAGATATAGCTAAGTGTAAATGCTCTGAGTTCAACCCTCAGTGCCACCCGCACAAAAAGAATGATCTGCACTCAAACATCAATAGAGGGTGAGAAACCTGGCATGAACAAACATGTAGCATTAAAAACTGTCCCCGATCCTATGAGGAAGTAGAACACAGAGCAGCAAATCAAGTCTAGCTGTCCCTAAGAAAGGCTGCCAGACTTCTGCAAGGGTGAGTAGAGACTCAGCTGCAGGCAGGCTTCCACTGCATCCTACCCTTCCCAGCCCTGGCCGCCAAGCCTGGAGCTTAGCTACACACATTGAGGTAGCCTTTCCGTGCCCTGGCAGCCCTGCAGCCTTGGGGAGGAATCTCTGTCTCTCATGTCCTACCAGCCACGTGGAGACCCTTCTTAGATCCCCATCCAGCGGCTTGAGAGACATGCATCAATAATCACGCACTACTGCCAGGCCTGGTGGCGAATGACTGTAATCCCAGCACCTGGGAGGCTGAGGCAGGAGGATCACCCTGGGTTCGAGGCCAACCTGGGCTACATAGTCAGTTTAAGATCAGCCTAAACTACATAGTGAGACCCTGTCTCAAAAAAGCAAACAAACAAAAAGAATCATGTGCTCCTAAGTGACAGATCAGCTGTATCCCCCACCACAGGTTGCACACTACAAAATTCAGTTTTCCATATGTCTTGGATTCTATGCCAAGATACATTCTCCAAGACTTGGAATAGAGACCATAATCTTCATGTTAATTTTCAAGTCCCAGTAAAACATTAGCAGTGAGGAAGTGGTCCAGGTGGCTCAAGTTTGGGTCTGTCTTTCCCCTATAACCTCGCTGCCCTGTGCAGCCTGATCAAAGTCCACATATGTCCACTCAGCCCTGATGTCTTTCCCAACAGTGCTCCTTCCAAGAGACAAATCACCTGTGGATTATAGCCAGAGGATGGGGTATGCTTGGGTCTGCCATTAGGTCCAGTCAGCAGTTTTCAGCCTCCCCTCCTGCTTGAAACAGTCAGGATCTTGTTGGGGAGAAGGTAGGGCAGAGGGCACAGGCAGTGGGGAGGGACTTTCAAAGGTCCAGCGAGAGTGTTGGAAAATCCCCACATAAAGAATTTTTCAGAAGCCAAAGACACACTGTTGTGCCTGTGACAATGCTGACTTTCATCTTCCATGGTATGTGGTGGTTTTGTCTTTCCCTGGGCAATGTAAGATGTGAGGCCCCCACACAAGGCCACGTGTTCAAGAGCAAGATCCTCTACCCATGATCCTCATAAAGGGTTAGTTTCCTTCTGTATTGTTTTTATTTTCATAAAACCATTAGAATTCTCAGTGTTTAAACTGTTTTTTAGATCTTTTTTTTATTTTAAAGAGAAAAGAACAAAAACGATAAAAAGATACAGAATTTCAAACAAGATGATAGGAAATAAACTTATTGTTATCTTCAAAGCAGTTGCTCAGATTGTTTCTTAGAAAGCACTGAAAAATCACAGAAAAGAAAGACCCCTTCCATCTGGACTCCCCAGCCTCTGAGTCACTGTCTGGTACCAGTCAGCGGCCGGTTAGGAACAGGGCCGAACAACAGGAGGTGAACATGGGGTGAACCAGCAAAGTTTCATCTGTGTTTACAGCCACTTCCCATCGCTGGCATCACCGCCTGAGCTCCACCTCCTGTCAGATCAGCTCATGAATTCTATTCTTCTGAGAGTGCAAAACCTACAGTGAACTGAGCATGCAAGGGATCTCGGTTGAGGGTTCCTTTAAATCATCCAACACCACCCACCCACTCCCATCCAACCCAACCCCCCATTCCATGGGAAAACTTTCTTCCACAAAACTGGTTCCTGGTGCCAAAATGGTTGGGGACCACTGCCTTAGGTCTTACCACTTAAACACAATCATGATTCACATCAAGAGCATAGCCTCCCTGTTTTCTTACACATTCTTTCTTTCTCTATTTCTTTGTTTTACAAATTTATGACCCATCTATACATACAGCTTTGTGCACTTCTCTTATCACTTAACAACGTTCTGTGAACCTCTTTACAAAGAATTAAATGTCCTCTGCTCTTGCAACCAGCTGCCTGACAGGGCTCCCTCTAGAGGGGTGTCAGCCAAGGCAATCGGGCCAGTCCTAAGCCACCCAAAGGAACAATGCAGAGGGGGCTGTGCTGTTGACATATGTCACAGGCTGCCTGGGAAAGCATTCAAAGCAGACATTTCTAAATTGTGTATTTCTAACGTTTTAATTCCAGTATTGTGCACATAGAATTGTGCATACAGCAAGAATGTACTACTCAATAAATTTTCACGCACCCGTGTAAACTAATATCCAAATCAAAAAAGTAGAAACTTAACCACCACCTTCCCAAGTAATCCCATGCCCCATCTACTCACTTCCACCCAAAAAAGAAAAGCATGTCTTGAGCTCATGTATCACAGATTAGTTGCACCTATTTTTTAACTTTACATAAATGGAGTAACTGCCCAAAATAGGGCACTCAGTATCATGTCTGTGAGATGCATTTCACTGCCATGCCTACCCTGCTGCATGTGTGTACAAGTCATTAATCTATCCTATTGAGAAGTATTTGGATTAATTCCCATTTGGATCTATTTTTAGTAGTGCTATTAAGATCATTTTAGTGGATGTTTTTGTTTTTTGGTGAGCACAAATCCCCATGTCTGGTACATGTGTACCCAGGACTGGAATTGCTAGGGTATGGGTACATCTGTATCTAAATTTAGTAGATTCAGTTTTCCAAAGTGTTTCTACCAATTTCTGTTCCCTCCAACAATGAGTGCTCATTCCATCTGCCTCACATCCTCACCAGTCCCTCAGGATGACACTTTGTGGTGGGGCAAGAGGAGACTAGGTAGTGGGTTCTGGGGCAGCCAGCCTAGTTGCCCTTTCCAAGATTGGCATCTAGTGTTCCACACCTGGATGTTTTCCCATCTGGTTAACCTTTCTCCATTTTCCATGAACCCCGGCAGATGTGAACGAGTGTGGAATCAAACCCCGGCTGTGCCAGCACAGATGTGTGAACACACACGGCAGCTACAAATGCTTCTGTCTCAGTGGCCACACACTCATGCCAGACGCGACTTGTGCCAGTAAGTTCCAGCAGCCAGGCCACTCTTGGCCTGTGTCTGAGCCTTGGGTTTTGCCATTTGATGCATTGGAAAAGGCTGACTTCAGTGATCTTTTTTTTCCCTTCAATCTCCAACAATACTCCAGAGTAAAACATCTTGGGCACTTACTTTAAAAAAATATGGTAAAATATATAAAATGTGAAGTTCACCGTTATAACCATTTTTAAAAAGTGGCATTCAGTGCCATCACAACGTTGCACAACCATCGCCACTATCAAGTTCCAGAACACCTTCACCCCACAAAGAATCCCATCCCCATTAGCAGTCCCTCCCCACGCCTGCTCCTCGCTGCCCTTGGCAACCACTAATCTGCTTTCTGTTTCTATAGGATTCCCCTTTTCTGGACACTTATTTACAAAGGAAAAAGATGAACGGGGAGGAAAACAAACTATGTATCTATATCTGTACCTCCATACGGGCAGGGGAGGGTTGGGTTCCATCATGCCACTATTCACGGTGACCAACACGCACATGTTTGGGGGAGCGATACATTTCCGTGCCATCTCAGGCCATCAGTCCTTCCCTCCAGCTACCTTTCTCACGCCCCCTGCCCCACTGCCAAAGATTAGTGGCTCCCATTGGAAATGCATTCTGACTCACATTCCTGAAAAAGAAAAGCCTTTCTGTGATAAAGAAACACCCACGTCCTGTGGGAGGGTAAGAGTCTACATCCATTCATTTATGGAGAGGAAAAGCTTTTCAGGTTTTATGTTGCAGCTGAAAGGCAAACCCACACTCCCTGCCTGGCTTCTCTCCTCCCCTCCTCTCTCATCCCTGTTTTCTCCTCTTTTTGCAGCCCACAGCAAACTCAGCTTCCTATGTTTACAGAGTCACACAGACTCCCCGGCTCATCCCGGGCTTTCCCAAGGTTATAAACTCTTGGCTAGTGCATGGGTCACTGCCCCGGGTTCCGCCTTGTCGTGTCCCTCTCTGGCAAGGTGCCTCCACAGCGCTAGTCACTCAGCTCTTCCATTAGCAAGCAAGCCCAAGAGATAAAGCAGCCTTCCCAAGTATCCTGTTTTTAAAATCCTTATTATAATAAATTATGCAGAAACTCACAAGAAGCAAATGCATAGCTTGATGAGTTTTTACAAAGCCAGCACCCTTGGAAGGATGACTGAGTAGAATTTTGCCCTTTGCCTCCTCCCCCACCCCTCCCCAAAGGGGACAACTGTCTCGGTTTTTATAGTGATCTCTTTAAATTCCCAAAAAGATAGATGCTAATGGATGCTTCTGAAACATTCCGTGAGAGCTCAGTCAGCGCCAAAAAAGATTTCTTTCCCAAATGGAAAGATAGGGTTATTTAATTTTAAAAAGTTTAAAAGAGGATGGCCAAAGGAAAAAGAAGACATGAGTAATATAACCATGGGTAGGGGCTTGCTGTATCACTTTAGGTCTCTATTCCTGTTACCCCCTTTATGTTTCTATATGTCTAGGGGTTAACTGTGGTCCCTGTCTGTAGCTTAGTGTCTGGGCAACCCCAGACCTCTCTCCTGGATGCTGGTTCTAGCCCACCCAGCCCCTTACAACCTCTTTTGTCCCACTGGATGATTGGCACGCTGTGAAGGAGGGTGGATGGAGCCAATGTACTCTCTGTGCTCTTTGTTGTGGACATTGGGCTGGAACTGTAGGAGTATTTTAGCCCTCATGCATTTATGACCCATGTATGCTGGAGCCCTGCTAAAGAAGTTATATTTAGCAGCATGTAACAGAAAAACCCACTTAGTACATTTTCTCATTTACTGAAAAAAAGCTGGAGGCAAAGCTATTCTATGATAGTTCAACAAGAATTCAGTTCCTGCCTTTCTCAGAGTACTGATTTTATTCTTATGCTTGTGACCGCATAGTGGCAATGTGGCTGCTTTGGCTGCAGATGTCATATATACATCAAAGGTAGGCAAAACTCAGGGGATGGAAGTGACACCAATGAAGGAATACCATTTTATCGTGTAGTAATGTTTTCCCAGAAAATCCACCCCCTCCAGTGGAGTTCTCTTTATATTTCTTTGACCACACGAGTCACATGGGCACTCCTTTCCATGAGGGGAGCTGGGAAAAGACAACTACCTGGTTTTCCAGCCCCCTCAGTGAGAACGGCAAGAGAAAAATGGGTCCAGGATGGCTTTCAGGCAGCTGATCAGCAGTATCTGCCATATATTTTAATACAGGTACCTGAAAGACCAAGCCTTGCGACCCAGTGACTCTTACTGAGGGTATACATGCATGGGGAGAGCTCAAGAATGAGTTCTTTTACCACTGGCTCAGACGGACAACTTACACAAGCAGTTACTTTTTACCCCATAGAGATCAGCTGAATGACATAAAGGAGTGACTCAAGCACACACAAGGGGAGAAAGAGATGCAGTCAGAGAGCCGTATGTCCTACCTACAAGGTCAATGCTTCACTGGCAAAACAGACTATGGGCACGATTCAACCCAGGGGCCACCAAGACACCAACCTCTGCCCTGATTCCTTTGGGCTTTCCACTTGGAACTCACATACAATAAAACTTGTCCTTGAATGCTATTCCATATGTTGCATTTAATGTCTCAGAATTCAGAGGTAGTTTCACAGCAAGCAGGTCTGACGTCTCAGGAGGGACAGGCTAATCCTGGGCTACTTTTGCAGACTCTCGGACCTGTGCCAGGACCAACTGCCAGTATGGCTGTGAAGATACAGAGGAAGGACCTCGATGTCTGTGTCCATCCTCAGGACTCCGTCTGGCCTCAAATGGAAGGATGTGCCTAGGTAGGACAGCAGCAGTGTCCTCCACTTCTACTCCTTCTGCCTCTACTCCCCCTTTACAGAAGGACCCCTTTCTCACGTGTCACAATCACCTTGTTGGCCAGACACTGCAAACTCCGAGTGTATGGGTGTGTCCATTTCTCAGATGATGTTTGTAGTCATTTCTGCTCTAGACATACTTGGGAATGCTAGAAAGAATGTTTCTCTACTATTCTGCATTGCCTAATGCCACAGTGGAAAAAGGATAAAAGTAGTTTAGTATATTTTCCCAGCCTATTTTACTTCATGTACCATCCACTAGAAACTCCACTATTCGTATGTCATCACTCAGTGAGCAAGATATGAAGGCCACTGGGCTATATTATTCCAAGTTCAAGCAAATATTTTCCCAGAAAAAATGTATTTACGTATTTTTTGACATAACATTAGTGAAAATAGCATATATCTTCCACTTTGTTTAACTTAAATTAGCAAGTACCCAATTTCACCAAGAAAACTTGCTCTAAATTACATAAGCTAAGTATTCCATACTTACTTTTGACTGGAGACAATGAGCAGACTAAATCAACAATATTAATCAAGGAGCACATAAAGCCTTCATTTGATGAAACTTTGAGTTTCATCAAAGCCATGGCACAGAACTTCAGTCTCTTGCTCTCCTTTGTCTTATTTTGTATCTCAGTTCTGTGTTCCACGCAAGCTGAGCAAGTAGTTGGTGGGAGCGGCAGTGACCTAGGGAGAGGAAGGCACTAGCGCCGGGGAATTCAGTGAGCAGGTTAAATGAGCTATGGGCGCCTTTGGGAGATGGGGTAGGCTGCTCTGAGCTTTATCTCGGGGCAAGGGTGCTGGGTGTGACTCTGTTAACTCCGGCCTTTCACTGACAGCGGGCTGCCCCGGGCGTGACTTCCCAGTACTCCCAGCTTGGCCCGGGTGCGGACTGGAACAGAATATCACAGGTCCAGCAAGCAGCCGCCCACAGTGCACCCTTGGTGACTGAAATTACACCGTACGTCTTGTGCTTTGGTCCTTTTGCAAGTCTGAACTATGGTCATCCATCAAATTGTATATACTCAACAATTATACGCCATCACACTGCTATAATCATAACCATTGCACCAAATACACATAATATTTAGATCAAGCGAGTACAAAGCCTCAATAAGGAATATCAAACCAAACGAGAATGTTGAAAGAGTTCCTAATCTTTTTAGATTTTATTATCAAATAGCAGTATGATTTCATAATCTTCAAAACATTGGAAATATTTTTCAGTCAAGGTGCTGGATGTTTATTTATTCTAAATGTACATAAGTGATCAACTGCATTTAGTAAGTTCAACCAAATAGATCCCAAATCAGTTAAACACTTTTTAAAATATATGTGTGAATTAAAATTGTGTCTCCTCTTTGAAAGTGATTGAGATTAAATTAGAGCCACAGCATTTAGTACCCTTTAGTAAAATAAGACTTATAGGACAAGGCTGAATTTTGGCCAAACTGAATCCAAATTTTTACCCACCTCTTGGATTGGTTGGGTGCCATTTTAACCAAAAAGGAAAGAGGGTGGGCATAAAGGTGATCACTGAAAAACACTTTTGGGCAATGCAATACCTGTCATTTGAAGAGTGCAAGGGGAACAATAAGCCTGCATCAGCTTGCACATTCAACCACAGGTTTGAAAGGACAGCAAAGTTGATTTGCTGTCTGAAAGTTAAAACAGAGCTTGAGGCAGTGATCAATCAACAACACAGCTTTCAGCCCCTCAGTAGCATCACCCTCATGGAGGAAAGGATCACACCTATTTCGGGCTGACATTACATCATTACACAGTTACCCGTGCCCCACAGTGTATGTAGGGGTGGATTCCTACACAACCTCATTTCTGTGCTCTGGGTCAATACTGCAAACAGTGTGGAAAGTATATGCTATTTTCACTAATGTTATCCCAAACCATGTAAATACATTTTTCTGGGAAAATATTTGCTTGAACTTGGAATAATATAACCCAGTGGCCTTCATATCTTGCTCACTGAGTGATGACATATGAATAGTGGAGTTTGTAGTAGATGGTACATGAAGTAAAATATGCAGAATCCTCAGAGGAGCTTGAGAATGGACTAATTCTTTTCTAAAATGGAAATCTTAAATGTGAATTTGGTTTGCTCAAAGTAGCTGTCTGTTTTCCAAAAGTGTAGATGTTATATGATAGAATAGCTAGGGAGAATATTTATTCACCCACTGCACATATGATGCATGGATCCCAAGTGCCAGACACAGGCGCCCTAGGCCAAAAGAGCTGGAGCCCGACATACAAGCAAATGTGACTATAAGTAGTGATGTTACAGGGAGGTAACGCCACTAAGAAAAAATATGCTAGGGGGTGTAAAGGCAATAAGGGAAGAGTGGGGTGTGTGCCTGGTGCAGATTTAGAGTTCTTCCTGCAGGACAGGATGGTGGTGCCAGGTGATCAGTTCGCCTGGCAAGGGGCCTGCACATGTGCATGCTCATGGCATACTGTGGCTGGGAGTGCATAGTGCATGTGTTCAGGCTCCTTTTCTTGCCGTTGCTGACATCTCCTGGTTCTACACCCTAGATATTGATGAATGTGCCTCTGGAAAAGCGGTCTGCCCCTTTAATCGGAGATGTGTGAACACATTTGGAAGCTACTACTGCAAATGTCACATTGGCTTTGAACTGAAGTATAGCGGTGGTCGATATGACTGCGTGGGTAAGATCTGGGGGCACGTTTTCCTTTTTTCTTTCTCCCTCTAAACCTATGGGTTTCTATGCAGATATTTCGGGTTTTTTTTTTTTTTTTTTTTTTTTTTAGTTTTTTTTTCTGGTACCGGGAATCGAACCCAGGACCTCACGCTTGCCAGGCAGGCGCTATGGCACTGAGCTAAATCCCCAGCTCCTCTATGCAGATATTTTGATGTCAGTTCAGTCTGTCAGTTAAACTGTCTACTCAGGCAACCAGCTTAACACAGAGAAAGGCTTATATTAAGTTTCTGGCATTTCTGGACTCCAGTGACAACAATTATGAAGTCAGGTCAATAAAAATTTAAGCGATATACTCTAATGTGGAGGAACACATCTTAAGATGATTTTTGTGAAGGGATTTTTTGTTTTATTTTATTTTGTTTATATTTTTGGTTCTGCCTCCAATTACACATATAAAATAAGAACAATAAAGCATATTTATATTTGATAAAAGGAAGAGGTCAGTGATCTAACAGTGATCTATTCATAGAATAGATGAATCTCATAGAATAGAGATCTCAGGATCTCAGTGATCTATTCATAGAAGTTTCCACTAGGGTGGCTTTAGAAAAATGAAGACAAGAGCACATGCTCTTTCTTCTCCCTTCTTTCAGTCCTTTCATAGTTTGAGCTCCAAATAAAATGTTCCTTTTCCACAGTTACCAAAATTACTCTTTGATAAAATTCTGGTACCTGGCAGCTATTGGTTTAAGCTGAGTGAAATAACATATTTTATCCTTCAGTGAAGGGACACCAGGTCTCAATGAGCACAAGAAGTGGGAAATTTGGAGAAACCCTTTGAAGCATTCTCCTTATTCTTGTACTGTCCTGTTGTGAAATTGGGGCTCCCTCTGGATTCCTGTTCACATAACTTGTGTAACAAAGGTGTGTTCATGACATGGAAAGCTAACAGTTGGGAAAAATAGGATTTCTTTCAACCCTATGCTCAGGACTTCCCAGGACGTGTCTTGGGTAATCATGTTAGGGCAACACTCCTAAACGGGGTTTGCACTATCTTGTGAAATCTCTACAGCTCTTCCCTCCTAATACAGCAACTGTCAGAGATAGGCTCAGAGCATCCATGCTTGTCACTAACTCTGACCATCAAGGCTGTGCCCCAATACCTGTGTTACAGTGTGCGCTTGCTCCCTAATACCCCCAGGGATGTTCCACAGGTCAAGCTGGGCACTGACGCTGAGCGCTTCACAGTTCCCAAGGAAACAAGTCTCTGAGGTTTTCAAGGTGGTTAAGATTAGCATCTGAGCTCGCTTTGTGGCTGAATGAAAAACAATAAGCCATTTTATGTGCCACATCTACCAATACATAGATAGAAAGCAGGATGGAGAGCTGAGCAAATGAACCTCTCACTTGGGTGGAATTTGGCAAATTTTCCGCCTCTAAATCCAGCAGACGAGCTCAGACCAGCCTGACCCTTTCTTCTGAAAGGCTTTGAACAAAGTGCCTATGCGTCTGACTTCAGATGGTGTCAGTGGTTCCTGGCTGATCTTGTCTTTTGTTTGTTAGGAGTTGCAAGCCCTTCCAAATATAGAATTTATTTCCTGATATTGTTATTTAGTTCCAAATTAGATGAAAAAGTTAAGAAAAAACCTTAAGTGTGTTACAGATTTCTAGGCCAAGAATAAGTGGAGATTGCTAGCGGTGTTGAGAGGTTCTGCTTGGAGTTGCTGGAGTATAAGACAGTCTCTCAGTGAGCCCTGTTATCTAAAGTTGTTCACTGACATGTTCATGTTTTAGATATAAACGAATGTGCTGTGAGTATCCATGCGTGCACCCCACATGCCAACTGCCTCAATACCCAAGGATCCTTCAAGTGCAAATGCAAGCAGGGATACAAAGGCAGTGGATTTCAGTGTTCTGGTAAGCAGTGTCTGGCCGTGGTGTTTTTGCAATTGCTTCCTCACTTCTCTCTCTCCCTTCTCCCTCCCTTTACCTCCCCCTCTCTCTCCTGCCATGGACCATGTCTAAATTTAACTCTGTCTCAGTCTTATCTCCTTTGTTAGTTGGATCACATTTCTAATATTCACTAAAGTTGTAGTCACAAACTAAAGCAACAGCAAGCATCCTTCGTATTTTTCTGGTTATAACATATTTTCAATTACTGAAAATAAGATATGAGGACAAAGGACACTGAGCAAATATAGCTGTCAAGATAGACTAGGGTATGGTGTCGTAACAAGCAATCCTTTGCGGTGATCAGGACCTTATCCAGAATGCACCTTTGAAGCAGAGAGCATTGCTTTATCACAATCAAGCCTGGATTCACATTTTCAATGTATAGTAAAGCATTCCATTGTTCTTGCTGGTGAATCCTTTAATGATTCTGAGTTAAAACTTTAAATTTGTAATCCATATATACATCTATAAAATTTCACTACTGTTAACAGCTACAACAAGAAAGTTCTATTTCTCATGTGTACTATACCCAAAGAGAGTTTTCAGGAGATTTCTTCTCAATATGGTCACTTAGGGGCCCAGGGTGACAGTGGCCTGGCCACTTTATGGCATTAGGGCAACAATCCAAGACCTTATGGAAAGAAAATAGAAAGTCACGTACTAGATATTAATTAATTCAGCTTGGAAGTATCTAAATTCAGAGGGCAAAAAACACTAACAATAATCCTCTCATGTACCTTGAAAAAGAAGAGACCTAGAAATCACGGGGAACCCCCAGAGTAAGACATCTCTGGTCACAGTGGCAGGCCCTCCCCTGGTGAATACTGTCTCGTAGCTTCTAAAGTCAGCTAAGCTTACCCCTCCGGACATGTCCCTTGCAGTGCTGACTCACTGTGTGACTATACTTGTTTACTTCCCTGTCTCAGCTATCTCCTGCACCCCTTAGCAGACTTCTCCCATGTTCCAACAAGTGTGGCTGCAAGTCATACCCTGCCCTGTGTCACATGCCGCATCCCCATGCAGTCAATGTTTCTGATGATGCAGATAGCATCCACCCGCTCATACAAACTGAGCTATGTATACCACGATGGACGTTTAGCAGCACACTCATAAATGGCCATGGTACCCCATAGGCTGCTGCTGAGTGCCGCTAAACAAGCGTGTGTGTAAAAGAATCTGACCAAAGAAAGTGACTCTAGAAATCAAGTTCTATGAAGAACCGCCAAAAATAGGGCAACCTGTAGACTGGGAAAGAAATAGTGTGGAAAAGCATAAACTATGCCTGGAAATATGTTTTAAGACATGTGAAATAAAAGTGGCTTCCCACGGTAGAGTAAGACCAATGGGTGGAGGTTATATTCTGTCTTCAGAACAACTGCTGGAAATTCAAGAAGAGGGCAGGAAGCCTCACGGAGTAGATATTCCCCGGCTGCAGGCCTTCAGGCTTGGGGCTCTGGGCTCTGGACTCTGGGCTCCGGGCTCTGGGCAGCAGTCTTACATTGGCCTGAGGGTGGGAGTAAGGACTGCTCAGTCACCAGCAACGCAATGCTGTGGTCTGTCCCTCCAAGTAGAAGTATGCAGTGATGTCCTTCTGAGAGAGAGGGAGAGATGGGGGAGCGGAGAGGAGAGAGAGAGAGAGAGAGAGAGAGAGAGAGAGAGAGAGAGAGAGAGAGAGATCCAGACAAGAAATAGAATAAATCAACTTTCCATATTTAATGAGTGCTCAGGGTCCTGTTCCCAGTGCACCTTCTCATATCACCAAATTTGAACATGCGCATTCCAGGCCTGGCTTTAACTCTTAGCTCTGCTTCACACTGCTGGGATTTCTACCAAGTTTCTTAACCTCTTTAAGCTAAGTTGCTGCTACCCATAATGGAGTTCATTGTGGGTACTTGTACTGGGCCAGGCCACTGTCGCTTGGAGCTCCGTAAGTCCAAGGAGGTGGGATAGATATTTCAGTGTATATCCCCAGCCACGGTACAATTGACTTTCCCTGCATTGTGGCCTCAGGGCTTTCTCTATTTTTTATATTTTTCTTTTTTTAATTTTTTTTTTTTTT